CCCTCACCCCTGAGGAGGCCCAGACAAGGGGGATCACATTGACCCCTGAGGAGGCCCAGACAAGGGGGATCACCCTCACCCCTGAGGAGGCCCAGGAAATCACTCTTACTTTTCAGCAGGCTCAGGCACTAGGAATCACTCTCATCCCTCAACAGGTTAAGGCACTGGGGGTCACCCTCACCCCTGAACAAGCAATGGCACTGGTGGTCACGTCTACCCAAGAGAAGAGCCAGGCACTAAGGCCCTCTTTCACCTCTGAGGAGACTCAGAAGCAGAGGATTACTCAAACTCTTGAAGAAGCCCAGAAATTGAGTATAACTTTCACCCCACAGCATGAACAAACATTGAGGGTCTCCCCAACCCCTGAGCAGGCCCAGGATTTTGGGATCACTCTTACATCTGAGCAGGTCCAGGCATTAAATGCCCTCCATCTTAAGCAGGTCCAAAAATCACAGATTCCTTTCATACCTGCACAGGCACAGGAATTAAGGCCTCCTCTCACTCTGGAACATGCCCAGATGTTGAGGGTTACTCCAGAGCAGACTCAGGCACCAAAGGCATCTCTCACTTCAGAACAGCCCCAAATAACACAGATCCCTCCAACGAAAAAAGCAGCTCAGAGATTTGGATCCCCTATGATCCTTGGACAGGCTCAGAGGATTGGTCTTACACCAGAGCAGACCCAAGCATTGGGGATCACTCTCACCACTGAGCCGGTGTATGAATCGGGGTTCCCTCTTACTCCTGAGCAGGCTCAGTCATTGGGGGTCCCTCTCAGCTCTGAGCAGTCCCAGGCTTTAGGGGTTCCTCTCACTAAAGAGCAGGCCAAGAAATTGGGGGTCCCTATCACTCTGGAAGATATTCAAGGACTACAAACTCTTAAGCAGACCCATATTCTGGGGGTTACTCCCTCTCCTGAACAGGTCCAGGCAACAGGGATCTCATTAAGTCTAAGAGTTCCTCTTACTGTGGGACGAGCCCAGGAATTGGGCATCCCCATCACCTCAGAGAATGCCTGGGTGTCAACCGCCACGCCTACCCTTAAGCAGGTCCAGGCCTTGAGGCCCTTTATTACTTTAGAGCAGGCTAAAGCATTGGGGATTCCTCTCACTCCAGAACAGTTTAGGGAATTAGGGATCCCTCTAGCCTCAGATAAAGCCCATGAGTTGGGATTGTCCTTTATCCCTGAGGAAGTTCAACCTTTGTGGGGCCCCGCTATCCCAGGACAGGCCCTGACAATGGGTAATACTCTCATGCCTGAGCAAGACCTAAAATCAAGAGCTCCTTCCACTGGTGAGCAACCCTCACAACTCTGGACTGGTCCTCCTTCAAGACACACTCCAGAAGTTAGTGATCAAGCCTTCACACCAAGTGCTTCTAACATTTCTAAGCAGTTCCCCATATTAGCTCCTCCTACTGTTACACCATTTCAAGAATTGAAGGCGCCTGTCTCCCCCAGGCAACTCTTTACATCAAGATTTTCTCTAAGCCCTAGGCAGTTCATGGCAACATCTGTTATTCCTGAGACATCCTCTATACTTGGGATCTCTTCTCCTTTGCACATATCAAGACCTTCTCTCACCAAATCCCCCTATTCTTTTGAGAGAACCCTAGTAATTGGAACTGCTTCTGACTCTAAGAAGTTACTAACACCACATACCCTTCCTTCCTCTACGAGTCGACCCATGCCTAAGAAGTTCCTGGCACCAGAGGTCCCTCCTACACCTAGGCAGTTCTTTATATCCAAAGACTCTTTCATTCCCCAGTCACCCCCAATATTAAAGCCTTCTCTCCCTTGCAGGGAATCTATACCTGAAGTCCCAACAGCCTCTAGACAGATTCCCAGTCTCTCTCCTGGGCAGCCTTTGGTCTCTGGAGCTCATTCCATCTCTGAGGAATTCCTGAAATCTAGACCCTTTACCCCTGCTGAGTTGCCCCAGGTATTCCAGACCCCTCTGTGGGGCCCTTCTACTCATGGGCAGCACCTGGCATCATGGATCCATCCCACTCCAGGGCAACTTTCCCCACTACAGGTCCCTCATGCCCATGGACAACCCCCCACATTATGGGCTCCTCCAATTCCCAGAAAACCCCAGGAAGATTTAACCTCTTCTGTCACTGAGAAAAGTAAGAAAGAATTGGAAATTATTTCTTCTCTGGAATCAAAATCAGCAGTGGTCACTCCCACTGCTCCAAAGTTCCAGCCACCACCAGTTCCTCTCACCACTAAGAAGTTACAAATGCCAGAGGTATCTGACACTTTTGAAGAATCCCAGCTGCTTCTTTCAAAAGATCCTTTTGCCATGAAACAATTTAGAACAATTCAGCCCCATCTCACCGATTACATGAGGACACCAGTATCACAAATCCCTTACGTTGGTGAAGGAGCCCTTTCCACTCTCTTGAAGCCTATAACATTACTACCTTCTCTTGCTACTCAACCACCCAAAACATCTCAGGTCTCACTTTCTGAATGGGACCAGAAATCCAGATTTCCTCCTATAGACAAGTCCTGGATACTGAGTTCAATTTCAGCTACCAAGAAACCCAAGATAATCGTGCCTCCTTCCTCTCCACAAGATCTTGAAGAGAAGTATTTTGTTGATGTGAAGGCTCAGAGGAAAAACCTGGTGCTCTTAAATCAGGCCACAAAAACTTCTGGATTCCCTTCACAGCTGTACGCAACAGTTAGGACACTCATAATTGAGACACTTCATTCAGATGCAGTTCGGCTGGGATACCTATTCCGCAAGTACATTGCCTATCGGCTGATCCAACGTGCCAGGTAGATGTAACTATTATATGCATAAGCCTGATTTCAGTAATTCTCCCTCTTTGCCCTATAACTATATTCATACTTGCCGGATCATAGCTTATAAAAGACTCTCATAGATCTGTGGGTGGAAGTAGTTTAAGGTAGCAAAAAGACATTCATATTTTAGGAAATAAGAGATACTATATAACTTGATCCATTTCATCCATTATATCTTTAGTAGAGATGCTAGGGTATATTTTGTGACTCATGATTGATCTCTTAAAGCATCAACTTTGAAATATATATATATATATATAGTCCTGGTGTGGAGCTATAGGTTAATGCATTGGACTACAAGGTCATTTTGAGCTACAAGGTCGGTGGTTCAAGCTCCTTGGAAACCCTATGCAGGGTAACTATGAGTTGGAACTGATTCAACAGCATTTTAAAACAACAACATATATATATATATGTTGTTGTTTTTGTTAAGTGCCCTGTATAGGGTTTCCGAGTTGCTGCTGCTGGGTTTGAACCACCAACCTTGTGATTCAAACCAACCTTGCAGTTCACTGCATTATCCTACAGCATCACACCAGGACAAGATGTTTATTCGCCCTAACCCCAGCCATCCAGGCCCTTTCTGTAAAGCTACTAGTGTATATCCATCCAAAAATATTTTCTACATATATAGGAAAGTATAAGGAGCTCTGGTAGCGTAGTGGTTATGAATCGGGCTGCGAACATCAGGGTCTTTGCAGGAGCAGAAAGCCTAATTTTTTTCACATGGAGCAGCTGGTGGGCTCCAACCACTGACCTTGTGGTTTGCAGTACCTTGTTTATCATACAACCAGAGTACTCCAAACTTAGATAACAGGTATTAAATAATTTAGGTATTAATACATAAGGAACTTGAGTAAGCTCATTTTATGGCTGCATGTTGTTGTTATTAAGTGCTGTCGAGTTTGTTCCAACCCATAGCAAACCTGTATAGGATTGCTGAGGAGCAGCTGGTGAATTTATTCTAAAATCTGGATTTACCAGAATTTATCTAACTTCTGATGGGTATTTATATTGTTTTCAATATTTTTCTATTATAAAAACAACTGCAATAAATAATCAAACATATGCATCATTTCATGTATGTGTGGAAGATAGATTTGAGAGTAAATTTTATGCAGAGACATAAGTTAGGACCAGGTAAGCTAAAAGTTCTGAAGGAATATAATGGTGGGAAAGGAATTATTTCCTTCCAAAATATTTCCTATTGTCTGGAAGCAATTGTGTACTGAGGTGAATTTTAAAACGACCTAATTTCCTCAGAAACCCTATACAAGATCGCTATGGGTCGGAATCGATTTGATAGCACTCAACAACAACAATTTCTGTTAGAGAAGTGTATCGATGTCAGGCAAGCTGGTGAAGTCTATAATAAAACATAAGAGTACAAGCTGAGACTAAATATGTTTATGCTTCTATTTAGCATTTATTTCATTCTTTGGTACCACTGATTCATCAGTCTCCTATGCTGGATTATAAATGCTTTGAAGGCAAGGACACTGTCATTTTCACAGTTGTATTAAGTATGGCTCCATAGGATAAACACAGAACTTCGAGCCACAAACTCAGCGGTTCGAGTCCACCACCTGTTCCATGGGAGAATGATGAGGCTTTCTACTCCCACAAAGATTTTTAAAGCCTCAGAAACTCTATATGCGCCGCTGAGTCGGAATCGACTTGAGGGCACTAATAATAACAATGTGTCTTGCACATAGCAGTACTCCCCAAATCAGGTCAATTGGGCTATTTTGTCCCCTATGGTAATTTTTACTACAAATGTTGTTAAGTGCCATCCCGTCAGGTTCCGATTCATAGCAACCCTGTAAGTGTTTCCCAAGCTGTAAATCTTTGAGGAGCAGAAAACCTTATCTTTCTCTCACAGAGTACTTGTGGGCTCAAACTGTGACCTTGTGGTTCGAAATCCAGTATTTATCCTCTAGAGGCACCATGCTCCCTTTATTTACTACTAATGTTGTTGTTGTTGTTATGTGCCGTGGAGTCGGTTCCGACTCATAGCGACCCTGCACAGGGTTTCCGAGGCTGTTAATCTTTACGGGAGCAGAACGCCTCATCTTTCTTCCGCGGAGCAGCTGATAGTTTCGAACTGTGGACCTTGCGGTTCGCAGCCCGATTCGTAACCACTACGCTACCAGAGCTCCTTTTATTACTAATAGGCATATTTAAAATTTCAAACATATTGCAATAATAAAACTGTAACACTAACAAACTCTGTGAAGAGCTAGTGAAAATTCGATCGATTTTTGAACATTTATTCATAGGGCAAATTAGATTAAGCAAGCCTTCCACCCCACTGGGGCTGCCTCTCTATTTACTAAGGATGAGATGAGAATTGAAAGTCTAGGTTTGCTGAGTTTGGGTCAATAACTATATTAGTCTCATTCTTGTTTTTTGTTTTGTTTTTTCAAGAAAAAACCTACTCAAACGATTAAAAGCTATCCAAAACACTGGGAAAGGCTATGAGACTCAGGATCTCTACAAAATGCTGGGTCGAACTGATGACTACCAGAAAAAGGTGATGCAAATCTGGACAGAGAAACAGAAATCTTTAGAGCAGAAACGGAATCAGTGCCTAAGGAAAATGATGTGCTTATATAGTCAGGTGTGTATCATTCTCTCTCCCTAGTACATTGTAAGAAAAATGAAAACGGTAAGCTTTCTTTTTAAAAGCAGCGTTGACCTGTGAAACTCCTAAATTGATAGAGAGCAGGAATCCTGACAGGACTCTCTAGATATGAATAGGAGAGAGTTCAAGAAATGTTCAATTCCTTCCTAATTATTCCATATGTACCAGCTTCCAGATATGTAACCTTTTGAAGTCATTGTTGTCCAACTGTTTGTTGTAGTTGTTGTGTTGTCGAGTCGGTTCCGACTCATAGTGACCCTGTATAGGGTTTCTGAGGAGTGGCTAATGGGTTTAAACTGCCAACCAGTGCTGATCCAACTTTTAATATCACAAATTTGCAGAAAAGAGACACAGCTTGAAGTTACTTACATAGCATCAAGCACAGAAGATCCTTTTAAATACTAACATCTATTCATAAGGTCCCAAAGTTCTCCCTGAGATAACCATCAAATTGGTGAATAATATGCTTTGAAGCTGCAAAAGACACCTTAAAAGTAAAGATGTCACCTTAAGAACTAAGGTGAGCCTGAGCTAAACCATGGTATTTTCAATCGCTTCATATGCAAATGAAAACTGGACAATGAATAATAATGACTGAAGAAGAATTGATGCCTTTGAATCATGGTGTTGGCAAAGGTTACTGAATATCCCATGGGCTGCCAGAAGAACAAACCACTCTATCTTGGAAGAAGTACAGTTAGAAGGCTTCTTAGAACTGAAGATAGTAAGACTTTGAACATGGAGGAATCAGTCACCATGCTTGGTAAAGTGGAAGCTCAGTGAAAAAGAGGAAGACCCTTAAGGAAATAGATTGGCACCATAGCTGCACCAGTGGGTTCAAATGTAGCAACAATTGTGAGGATGGCACAGGACTAGGCAGTGGTTTATTCTTCTGAACATAGGGTTGCTGTGATTCAAAATCAACTTCAAGGCACCCAATAACAACAACATGCTATGGGGAGGATACCAACCCACCTACTACTTTCAAGCTGATTCTGACTCATATTAACTCTGTAGGACAGGAACTGCTCCATAGGATTTCAGAGGCTGTCAATCTTTATGGAAACAGGCAACTTTTTCTTCCCTTGGAATGACTGATAGCTTTAAATTACGTGTTAGCAGCCTAACGCTTAACCAATTGTACCAGCGAGGCACCTTTGGGAGTAGTCATAGTAGTAGTTGTTGTTAAGTGCTGTCGAGTCGGTTCGGACTCATGGCAACCCTGTATATGGTTTCCAAGGAGTGTCTGTTGAGTTCGAACCGACAATCTTGTGGTTTGAACTGACCTTGCAGTCCAGTGTATTATCCCACAGTGCCACAGCAGGACTCTGGGAGTAGCAGTAAACTTCTAAAAGGTTATAGAGATGAGATTAGAGTTATTTGATCTGGGATTATGTTATCAGGCTAATAAAAACTGGTTAGAGTTGGAGTCCTAGTTGGACTGCAAGGTCTGTTTGAACCCCAAGGTCGGTGGTTCAAGCTCACCAGTCATTCCTCAGAAACCTTATACAGGGTTGCTATGAGTTGGAACCAACTAGATAGCACTTAACAACAAGAGTTGGAGTCAATAGGTGCTATGAGGTGCATGGTATCAAGGCATGAAAGAATAGGAAAAAGGAAAAGAGAAAAGAGTGCTGTTGTTAAGTGCCATTGAGTCGGTTCCTACCCATTGTTGTTGTTGTTAAGTACCGTGGAGTCGGTTCCAACTCATAGTGACCCTACAAAGGATTTCCGAGGCTGTAAATCTTTACAGGAACAGAATGCCTCATCTTTCTTCCGCAGAACCGCTGGTAGTTTCGAACTGCTGACCTTGAGGTTAGCAGCCCAATTCATAACCACTACGCTACCAGAGCTCCTTTTCCTACCCATAGTGCTCCTATATAGGTTTCCAAGGAGCGGCTGTTGAGTTTGAACCACTGTCCTTGAGTTTGAACCACTGACCTAGTGGTTCAAACTGACCTTGCAGTCTAATGCATTATCCTGCAGCGCCACACTAGGACTCCAAGAGAAGAGAGCGTTGTTGTTGTTAAGTGTTGTCAAGTCAATTCTGACCCATAGCAACCCTGTGTAGGGTTTCCAAGGAGTAGCTGGTGAGCTTGAACCACCAACCTCAGTTCAAAACTGACTTTGCAGTTCAGAACGAGAGCAGACCTGAGTAAATATCTGATGCTCTGTTAAGTTGGTGGTCAAGAAGATTGGCTCTGCTACCAAGTTATCTGTGTTCAAATGAGCTCCACCACATATGAGCTAAGCGACTCTGGGCAAGCTACTTACATTTTTTGAACCTCAGATTATCCACATCAATTGCTCATGTTCAAGGTTCAAGTTGAAGCTAAAGAAAATTAAAACAATTCTATGCAAGCCAATATATGACCTTTAGTATATCCCACCTGGATTTAGAGACCATCTCAAGAACAGATTTGATGCATTAGACACTGATGACCAAAGACCAGAGGCATTGTGGGATGACATTAAGAGCATCATACATGAAAAAAGCAAAGGTCATTTAAAAGAAAGAAAAAAAGACCAAAATGGATGTCAGAAGAGATTCTGAAATGTGCTCTTGAATGTAGAGAAGCTAAAATAACTGAAAGAAATGATAAAGTAAAAGAGCTTAATAGAAAATTTCAGAGTTACTAGAGAAAACAAAATAGAGTACAATAATGAAATATGCAAAGATCTGGAGCTAGAAAATCTAAAGGGAAGAACATGCTCATCATTACTCAAGCTGAAAGAACTGAAGAAAAATTCAAGTCTCAACTTGAAATATTGAAGATGGAAGGAATACACAGTCTCTGCCAAAAAGAATTAGTCAATATTCAGCCACTTCAGGAGATGATAAAAAACCAATGATATTGATGGGAAAAGACCAAGCAGCACTGAAGGCATTAGCTAAAAACAAGACCACAGAAACTGGTAGAATATCAATTGAAATGTTTTGCCAAACTGTGCTACACTGGAAGCACTCTCTCCTCCATGCCAAGAAATTTGGAAGACATCAACCAGACCAACTATCTGGAAGCTATCCTTATTTGTACCTATTCCAAAGAAAGATGACCTAACAGAATGTGGAAATAATCTAACAATATCAAACAAAATTTTGCTGAAGATAATTCAAAAACATTTGGAGCAGTACATGGACAGGAAGCTTCCTGAAATTCAAACAGACTTCAGAATAGGATGTAGGATGAAGGATATCATTGCTGATATAAAATGGATTTTGGCTGAAATTATAGAATACCAGAAAGTTGTTTATTTGTGCTTTATTAACTGTACAAAGGCATTCAACTGTGTATATTATAACGAACTATGGATAATATTGTGAAGAATGGGAATTCCAGAATACTTAATTGTGCTCATTTGAAACCTGTACATAAACCATGAGGCAGTCATTAAAATAGATTAAGGGGATACTGCATGGTTTATACTAAGAAAGTGTGTGGATCAGGGTTGTATTCTTTCACCATACTTATTCAATCTGTATGCTGCACAAATAATCCAAGAAACTGAAGACAAATGTGGCATCAGAATTGAAGGAAGACTCATCAATAACCTTTGATATACAGATGACACACCTTGCTTGCTGGAACATAAGAGGACTTGAAGTACTTACTGATGAAGATCAAAGAATACACCCTTCAGTATAGATTACAACTCAATGTAAGGAAAACAAAAATCCTCATAACTGGACTAATAAACAACATCATAACAAATGGAGGAAAGGTTAAACTTGCATGGAATAATAGTCAATAAATCAAATGACATATTGCTGTAGGCAAATCTGCAAAAAAATCTTTTTAAGGTGTTCAAGAACAAAGATGTCATTTTGAGGATTAAGTCTGCACTTGATCCAAGCCATGGTATTTTCAGTTAACTTCATAGGCCTGTAAAAGCTGGACAATAAATAAGGAAAACTGCAGAAGAATTGATGCATTTGAATTTTGGTGTTGGCAAAGAATATTGAAAGTACCACGGACTGCCATAAGAACCTGGGAATGATGTCTTGGTATACCCAGAATACCCCTTAGAAGTAAGGACGAGGAGATTTTGTCTCACATATTTTGGACATGTTATTAGGAGACACCAGGCTCTGAAAAAGGACATCATGCTTGATAAAAATATAAGATCAGTGAAAAAGAGGAAGACACACACCCCCCAACAAGTTAGGTTAACACAATGACTACAACAATTGGCTAAAATAACAATGGTGAAGATGGCACAGGACTGGCCTATATTTCATTCTGTTGTCCATGGAGTTGTCCACTCTATGCATTGGAGACAACTTAAGAAGACAAAGAGATAACAGTATCTACTTCAGGGCCTATAAAATCATTTGATCTGACCCTGCCAAGGTAACTGCAGTTCTTGCCATCACGTTAGGGGTGAGTTAATTAAATATTTGGCCAAATATTTGTTTTTTGTTACATGCTTTCAAGTCAGTTCAGATTCATAGCAACCCTGTATAGAGTTTCCAAGGAGTGGCTGGTAAATTTGAACCGCCAACCTTGCGGTCCAGTGCATTATCCTAGAGTGCCACACCAGGACTCCATGACCAAATATAGAAGACTAATTTTTAAGTATGGCCCGTGAATGATGTTATAAATATCCAAATGGCCATTGGCAGTAAAACAGTTCTCCACCCCTGATCTACTTCATAAGATTGTTGTAAGTATCAAATGCAAAGTTATTAACAGTGCCAGGCCTTAATTACTATGAAACAAATGTTAACTGTCTTTATTACTGCATGGTGCTTCACAGTTTAGAAAGTGCTTCCATTTTATACAACTTTTACAACAGCCCTGTGTTACCCTTCCCATTTTAGTAATAAGGATAAAAGGTACAGATAAACAAAGTAACTAACACAAAGTCACACAGCTAGAAAAAAGGATTGGAGTGGGATTGAGGATGAAGGAAAGAGAATGGAAGGAGAGGATTTGCAAATCTCTGGGAAAGGAGGATTTATAGTTTAATCTAGGGCCAACCCATATGACCCGCCTAAAGATTCCAGTCCCTTCCCTTTCAAGGTTACCTTTTTCTGATTTATTTGTTTTTGTTTTCAGCTCCAAGAGACGTATAAATTGAACCTTAGTCAACCTACAGTGATCACCAATGAAAAACAGATACTTGCCTCTACTAAATTCATTCACCAACCATTCCTAGAGCTATTAACAGAAGAAAACAGAAAATCTAACTCATTCGGGAAATATAAGTATGTGATAAAGAGATTAACATTAAAGTTTCTTTGGATGATATGTGGAGACTTAATTATTTTTTTTCCTGTCCAAGAGCTTCCCCTTGCCATAATTATGATATGGCCTAATGGACTTTAAGAAAGTATTCAATTCCTTAACTAATTTAGTAAGAGACTTATTTATTTATTTGTTGGTGTTGTTAAGTGAGTTCAGTCATTTCCGATTCATAGCAATCCTGTATAGGGTTTTCAAGGAGCCCTGGTGAGTTCGAACTGCCAACCTTGCGGTTCAAACCAACCATGTAGTCTAGAGCTTTCCTACAGTGCCACACCAGGACACTTATTTACATATGTTGTTGTTAAGTGCCTTTGAGTCAGTTCTACTTACATATTCAGCATCAGATATTGAGTTCTCTTTTTAAAAATGATGCTGATTCTTACTAAAACAAAACAAAGTACCCCCCCCCCCTTTTTTTTTCTTGTTGTTTTAGAAAGCAGTAACTTTGGGATGGGAATGGAAAAGATTGTCGATGGGGAATATAATTTGCATATAGTCTGTATATTCCATGAAGCTTCTTGTTGCTGTTAAGTGTCAGTTGTGTTGGTTCTGATGCATAGCAGCCCTATATTGGGTTTCAGAGGCTGTAAATCCTTGTGGGAGCAGAAAATCTCATCTTTCTCCCATGGAGCGACTTGGGGGCTCAAACTGCCAACTTTCTGGCTCGCAGTCTAGTGCTTATTCTAGTGAGCCACGAAGCTCCCCTCCATGAAGCTTATAAGGTAGTTTTGAAATGAATTACTTGATGAAATCATGAAAATGCAACTTTGTTAACGATTTTAGCAAATTCTGCTTTTGCATCCATTTCTCAAAGTGGGCATAGCTAATGTTCTTCAATGGTGCCTGAAAAGGTGTGATAGGGAAAAAAAACAAACCAAAATCCATATCCAGTCAGTTGTTTCTGACTCACAGAGACCCTATAAGACAGACTAGAACTGCCCCCATGGGGTTACCAAGGCTATAAATCTTTACAGAAGCAAACAGCCACATCTTTCTCCCTCAGAGCAACTGGCGGATTCAAACTGCTGTCTTTTTGGTACGCAGCAGAGCGCTTCAACATGGCACCACCAGAATTCCTTGTTATAAAACAGGACAGTAGTAAAGGAGAAGGGGAAATAGGATTCATATATTTTAGTTGGTTATCGTCCTCAAAAGAATTTGATAATGCCAATTAATGTTCTAATTCTCTAGACAACAAAAGGATCCTATGGAGGCCATCTGGAATGTTGATTTATCTGCTACAAGCTACCCAATAGCAGAGAAGACATCGATGCATTCACTTTGGGCCCAGCTGGGTGGGTACCCAGATATTCCTAGGCTGCTTCAGCTAGATGTCCACTCTACCTTCAGAAAATCTCTTGCATCCATTCAATCACAGTAAGTTAAGGACTGGAAGCATGCTGGTAATGGGGTCTTTGGTCAAACAAAAGGAACCTTTGGTTTCCCTCACTTGATTTTTTCTGTAGCTAGACAATGCTTGAAAAGTGGTTAGACTCACACCAGTCATAAAAATTAAAGCAAAACAAAACAAAATTTAAAAAACCAAGCAGTTGCCCTTGAGTCAATTCTAACTCATGGCAATCCCATGTGTATCAAAACAGAACTGTGAACGTAAATGTTTTCAATGACTGATGTTTCAGAAACAGATCACCAGGCCTTTCTTCTAAGAGTCATAAAATGTTGTTGCTGTTAACTGCCATTGAGTCAGTTCCAGCTTATAACAAACCTGTATAGGGTTTCCAAGGAGCGGTTGGTGAGCTTGAACTGTTGACCTTGTGGTTCAAACTGACCTTGCAGTCCAACACATTAACCCGCATCACCACACTAGGACTCAGCATTGGTTTTTAAAATTTTTTTTTCCATTTAATTGCTATTTATTTTCATAAACATGAGGTCTTTCAAAAGTGCTGTAAGATACAGCACTAAATATATACATTTTGAAGAAATTAAACACAGAAATTTACCCAGTTCTATGCACCAAACATGAACAAATGCATTAACAGGAAGAAACAGGCTAGGAAAAAGGCACATATATAGTAAATTTCTTTACAAAAATTTCTTAGTTCAAAAAGTGAGAAAATAATATCTACTCAAAACGTTCACAACTCCTTTTTATATGAAAATATAAGTACCAAATTAAGTTATGTATCAGCATCATACTAAAGTATATAGGCAGTGTAAGAATTAGTACAGTACATAACAGAGGTTAACAATATGTTTGTATACAAAGCATCCTTCTCAAACATTGAGGTATTACAGTACTTAGGTATGAACTTCCAATCTAATACTGGCTTCAAAAGCCACCTCTCACTACCCAAGACATGTACAAAAGGTAGTGTTGTCCATGGTATTTACAGAAATGTTCCCGAGGGGTATCAAATGACAAACCCCTTATGTGACATCTGCTGGAACTTAAGCACCATTTTTAAAAAGAAGGAATGACTTTGTTTAGAAACTTAGAACGAGGTGACTTCAACAGCCTCAAAGGATCTTGTCACGAACTTCTATGACATCTCAGAGATAAGGTGGAAGAGGATACAGGAAGGGCTGAATCAGGCAGGCCCAATCCTAAGGTTCTGGCAGAAACCCCCACTCGTTCTGCTTCCCCACCCACATCCAAACCTGACAGGAGACTGATTTGAAAGTAAACCAACATTCTTAATGTCAACACAATATATATATATTTTTTAAATCAAAATGTGCAAAGTGGCAGCGACTGTCCAGTTTTGAGAAACGTTTGGCAAGTCCGAGCATTTTCAATTTTCTTTGGCAACTGCTGCTGTCTTGCTTGCAGTTTTTCCTTTTCCAGCAAAAGCTGATGTTCTCTGCCTGAAGGGAGTGGACATACTCTGTGGCCTTTTTCAAAATGACCACCTTCGCAGACTTCTCATTCTTCACCAACTCTGGCACATGGTCCCTGAGTGTGAGGAAGCTGGACCGCAGGTCATTGCGTTGTTGGCGCTCTAGGATGTTCTGGTTGCGGCGCTCTCACTGTCCTCCCAGTCAGAGATGCGGGAGCTTAAGCTCTTAGCCTTTGGGGGAACAACGCTCTTGAGAGGATGCAGGGAAATTTCACTCTTTTTTCTTTTTTTTAGTGTTTTATTGTGAATTAGGTGATAGTTTGTTTACATGGGAGAACATTAGCTTTACATGCATCCTATCGTATATCGTTTCATTGCCATGGTTATAATCCCCTCCATGAATCATCAACCAACCAAAGGGTATACACTACAAGCCTGCCTCCTGGTCGTCAGCCCACAGCCCCTCTACCTCTCTGGGTCTAGAGAACCCAGCCGCTTCATCTCTCCATGTCATTGCCTCTGCCTCCATCTCTGGCATCACTGCTTCTCTGGGTAGGATCCCACTCTCCGCTCTTCTCCCTTGACAGACCCAGGGACCTCCGCTCCTAGATTGCAAAGTTAATCACTCCCCTCCTTGCTACAAAACGTCTACCTTTACATTTCCAA